AAAAAAAAAAAAAAAAAAAGAAAGTTGAAATTTTATGTGAACTGTATAAACAGAAGTTATCGTTAAGTAACTGAATTTGCTCGCGTTTCATAAAAAGAATGATTGCTTCATAAGTTCACCATAATTGCCTACAAAACACTATCATCACAATTAAGTTTTATGACCTGCCTTGCTCAGTTTTAAATTATTATTGCATTTATTCTTTTTCACAAAAAATTATTGAATTTTTATTTAGTTGTACAAATTATCCACAAAAAAGTTTATTTATTTAGTAAATGCTATGATATAAACTTTGAATCGTGCTGTTCATTGGCACGAATTCATTTTCGTGTACTAGATATGGCAGTAAGCAACAGTTATTTGTACCTTTTTAATCTGTGTTTTAGCAGGATTAATTTGGTATTAAAAAGAGTAAATTACAAAAAAATTGATAAAAAATTAATCAATCTTGGATTGACTAGGCGAACAGTTAACTAAAAAGACAATACAATTACTATTACCTATGCAGATACAGTATGCAGTCAAAAATTCACTAAATTATAGAAATGTTTGAAAGCATCAGTTTGCTGAACAACAAACTGATGTATAATGATCACTTTTATAGCATCAAAAGTGCAGTCTTAGTTTTGTGTAGAAAACGTCTAAAAAGTATTACAATTCTTTATTGTTAAAAGTTCACTATGAATTTTCCTCTAACCATTGTTTCACTATCAATAAAGTTTGTTAAATCAAATTTATCAATACTGTTTATTGTACATTTTAAGCATACAACAGATCACTAAAAATGTTTGTAAAAATTTTTTGGCAAAAGAAAGAACTTTTTTTCAGAAAAATATTATTTGAAGAAGAAAATGTATACATCATTTGCACTATTCTGTTGTCGTTTAAACCATAACACACAGTTATTGTAATACAGCTAACAATTTACGCTCACCAATATCGCTGTTATAACTGTTATAAAAGCACCGAAAAGAAATAGATGTAAATAATACAATCTTATTGCTCTTCTGTTTTTAATTTTTGTTCGTCATCAGTTCGTTGAAACAACAATTTGTCATTATACTTCAGACATTTGAAAAGTACAACATATTTCACAAAAAAAACTTTATATAAAGCATATAGACGATGAGAAAAAGTTGACTAAACAAAATGTCTGTGAAAGAAAAGACGAAAGTAACAGAAGATTTGTTCACAGCTGTAACTTTATCAGGAAACATCTGACAGATCATTGATGTATAATTTGAAAAGTTTCAAAAGCAAAAAAAAACTGAAGAAACTAATTAACCCAAACTTATTTTGATACTGTTTAATATTCATTTTTATCTCTTCTTCTTCTTCATTTCTGTTATAAATTTGTAATTTAATTGCTAAAAG